TATGGTTGCGTCGATGTCCAATCTCCTCGCGAGCCACAACGCTACATGTGTTACATTCCAACAGAGCAAAAGCAGCGGCAGCGGGCAATCGTGCTGCCTTTTGTCTGAATCATAGGCGCGCTCTACGGTTGATTAATGGCCAAAGATTGGAGAATCGTGTCGTATGTTTTAGGTTGTATCTTCGGATTGCGGGTGTCTACGAGGCAAAGATTTCGTACGATTATGGGCGAATGTACTGTGTCCGATTTGTAGGTATTATAAGGCTAGTAAATGACGAATTTCCCTTGTTTATTGTTGTCACACTCCTCCCTATTATACACTCCTGATAATACTAAACAACCTAAAACTACCTCGGGTACATATATACCTGATACGACAACGACCCTTCGTGCCTTACTATAGCTGCGTTCACACGAGGATTTCAGTACCGTACTGAGCGTTCACACGGTAAAAATATTCAAGACTTATATTACGCGGCTTAGCAAGTACCGTACTGAAATACGAGGCTTATTCGGCGCGGAAAGTGATTCCGCGCTGAAACATTCGGCACTATGCTGGCCGCGTATTGTCTGTCGCGTGAACGCAATTCGAGGCCTCGTAAGCCGCAAAACTGTAGTGCGCTTACCTAGACTGGTACCCGTTCGCCACCTTCACTCCGGCAAGTATCCTTCGTTACACTGACGTACGTGACACGACGTCGTTCGCTACACGACGTTAGTGTAGCGTGTGGAACTGTCGACAGGGTACCAGTCTATATTATACCTAGCCAGCTAAGCCTCGATTCTCGTGTGAACGCTGCGGGTTGTGCTAGCATATGGTATTTCAGCCGAATTCAGCACCAGATAAGTACGGAACCAGCAAGACCGTGAATCTCGTGTGAACGCAGCTATTGCCACACTAGCATTATATAGCAGGCATAGCATATTTGCAAGCGCAAGCGTAGCGTGGCGTAAAGCAGGCGTAAGCATGGCCGATGTTGATCATAAATGTGATGTTTATACATTGTATCAAGCGAACAATGCTTGTATACAATGCATCTAGACAATACGTCTGCAGTGTACTTGTCTGTGCATATCTGTGAATCTGTTTTCATGTTTTTATATAATAATTACATTACATATTAATAATTTTCAAATGCTATTATTGCATAAGCTGCGTTCACACGAGATTAATAATTAAATAATTTCTCGGTTAGAGGGAAGTGTTTTTCATGATGGCGGCGCCCATGAAAGTCAGTTGTTTGTGGCAGTTTTTCAGTAAAATTACACAAAATGATGATCCAGATAAACATTACGAATGCTTTGGTGATGAAGATGATTATCAAAAGGAAATTCGGAGAAATATTTTCAATGGCATGAGCCTTAAGTGAAAAACGACACCTCGCCGCCTAGTATCAATGTAGCGAACTACAGTTTCACGGCTTACGAGGCCTTGAATTTGCAACCACACGACAGACAATACGCGGCCAGCGTGGTGCCGTTGTTGCAGCGCGGAATCACTTTCCGCGCCGAATAAGCCTCGAATTTCAGTACGGTACTTGGGAGGCCGCGTATAAAGGCCCGCTCAGGTCGGCCTACGATTTGACTATCGGCGACTACTTTAGCGCCGATTAGCAGCGTAGCAACACTCATGTCGACTTGAAGTGACTACGCTGCACATCGCCGATCACATCGTAGCGTTCCTGCATGAAACGTAGACGGGTTCGCGGCCCCAGTATTTGTACTAGCACAAGCAGTTCTTTAGCACAAACAGAGCAAGCTTGACGCCGGGACCAGTCTACATAAAACGACTCACGTACGTGACCAACAAAATGGCGCTTACGAGTAAACATCATGTAACTTCGTAAATCTCTCCTCAATATTCTGAACATCGTTATAATCATGTGCAGAAATTTTTTTTATGTGATATACGGAAAACTTAATATATATTTGAGAAAGGGTTTGTGCAATAATCCCTCCTTGTAAACTGCTGACGAGTGGCGTGTAGGCTGCCATTTTATTAATCACGTGACTTTTGATAATCATGTGACTCGACAAGCTGCGGTGATTCGCTGCCACTCACGATTTGTCGCCGACAGCCGCATAGAAATAGAACATGTTCTATTCCTGCGATCGCAGTCGGCGACCGTATTTTCGATCGCAAGAGAACTCATGTCAAGATCTGGCCGGTTTTTGACGCACGATATTCAAATCTTGTCGGCGACTAGGTCGTAAGGCCGACATAAGCGGGCCTTAAGTCTTGAATATTTTTACCGTGTGAACGCTCAGTACGGTACTGAAATCCTCGTGTGAACGCAGCTATATTTTAAGATTTTGGATACCAACATTGTTGAAATTACTATCCAAAAAATGGGATAGCAGATCTTTGGGGGGGATACCAGATTTCAATACCTGGTATCCCGAATGGATACCATAATAAAAATATAATTTCGACCCCTAGCTGTATGCTCCAGAATGTCATAGCTGTGAATACTAGAAAATCAAAGCCTAGTACGAACCAATTCAAAGTTTCAATATCAACATATTTACACCCAATGGAAAAAACACTGCAATTTAGTGCAGTTTGCCATTTTGAATCACTTTACTATATTTCAACTGAATGAGTTTTCGTTCGCATCACATTAGACAAATCATGACCATAGTCACAAACATTTAAATTTTTGACCATATCATTTGTTTCTTGCAACCAGGCTCAACTGCTATATCATAATGCAATGCAAACATTTATGAGGTTTTGCAGGAACTCCTGCAACTGTCATTGTCCACTTATTCAAACTGTCTTTTGCTGCAGATCGTGTTCGGAATTTCATTTTAATACTATAATAGTGATATTCCCATGGTCAATATTGGATTTCACTATTTCATGGTACATGACATCATTGACATGTATGCTCTGTACAAATCACAATGCTGCAGCATTTTTGCAGGCACACAACATATCTCTCTCGCTCTCTCTCTCTCTCTCTCTCTCTCTTGCGTGTCATGCCTTCACAGGCCTTGCACAGTATTCTCGTAAACACAGAAGTTACCTTCTCGGCGGGTTTTCGCTTTACACTACGGCTTGCCAAACAATAAAAACACGCAGGAAATCGCGCGTTGCTTGATGTACGATAGCCTATAAGTACTGCCCCTGACCTGTCCTTTATATTCCTCCTTAATAGCAACGTCGTTGAGTTAGCGTGACGTTTGTGAAACGTGGAAACTTAGCGAGGCTTTCGTGAAACACTCTATATATAAGGATATCCTAAAACCCCTCTTTAACCAATCACTAATTTAACGAGCGCTTCATGAAACGGCCCCCAGATTTCAATGCTTGGTATCCCGCCGGAATAGTAAAAAAAATCGTCAAAATCGGGATAGTGCTTGTTGAGTTATCAACTTTATACGGCAGCGCATCTGAGCGAGTGGGCGTAGAGCGAGTGCACGCGATCTGAGCGGGCTCAGGCACCCTTACTATGGCTGAAGGGGTCGTTGTTGTATCAGGTACTACATATATGTACCTGAACCTGAGGTACATATATATATCAGGAGTTAATAAAGACAAATTGTCTTTATTTTGACAAATTTTTGAACAATTGACAAATTTTTGACAAATTTGACAAATTGACAAATTTGTCAACAATTTTTTGACAAATTTGTCAACAAATTTTGTCAAACAATTTGTTGTCAACAACAATTTTTTCAATGTTGTCAACAATCAATCAATCAATCAATTTTCAATGTTTCAATGTTGTCAACAACAAATTTTTTCAAACAAAATTTTGTCAAACAATTTGTCAAACAATTTGTCAACAAATTTGTCAAACAATTTGTCAACAAATTTGTCAAACAATTTGTCAACAAATTTGGACAAATTGACAAATTTGTCTTTATTAACTCCTGATATATATGTATACACAAAGTGTACCAGACTTGTACTACAGAAGTGTACCCTAACCCTAACCCTAAACATACTTCATATAAAAATATAAACATAATACCAGGAGTGTATAATAGGGAGGAGTGTGACAACAATAAACAAGGGAAATTCGTCATTTACTAGCCTTATAATACCTACGATTTACTACGCGTAACTCATCCAACTTG